GGATATGATGAGTGCAACAGAGCAATGGTGGACACACTAAATAACAAAAAAGGCACAATACCGTGACTGGAACGATACACAGATAACCCACACATAAAAGAGAGAAGCTTACGACGATGTTTCGGTCCGACTTGGACCATTGACAAAGTCACACTAACCAGAAGTGGAGCAGGACGGCTATATATAGGCAGGAAGAGGTGGTGGTAGTAGTAATAGTAGTAGTACAAGAATGGTATGTAATACCGACAAGATGAAATTAAGGCACATGCGCAACACCCGGGCATCACTATTGTAGACGTTTCGCCATCCAGCCAGCCACTGGATGGCGAAACGTCCACAACAAAGACAACCAGATGCCGCACATGTGTCTTAATTTCATCAGTAGTTGTAGTAGTAGTAGTAGAAGAGGTAGTAGTAGTGGTAGTGGTAGCTGAGGTGGCAAGAAGAGCTCACTCGAGTAGACCAAAGTTATGGGTTATGGGCGACTTCAACCACAGGGAAATTGATCAGGAAAACATGGAGCCACATGGGGATCCCGAAACATGGAGAGCCAAGATGATGGATATGGTACTGGAAAACCTCATGCACCAACATGTTGCAGACACTGCCAGAGAGAGAGGGGAGGATGAACCAGCAAGACTGGACCTTGTGTTCACCCTGAGTAGTTCAGACATCGAGGTCATCACATATGAAAGACCCCTTGGAGCTAGTGATCACATGGTTCTGAGCTTTGAATACATCGTAGAGCTACAAATGGAGAGGGTAACAGGAGTAGAAAGGGAAAAGCCAAACTATAAAAGGGGGGACTACACAGGTATGAGGACCTTCCTGCAGGAGGTTCAGTGGGAAAGAGTTGGTAGGAAAGTCAGTAAATGAAATGATGGACTACGTAACAACAAAATACAAGGAGGAAGAGGAAAGGTTTGTTCCCAAGGGTAACAGAAATAATGGGGGAAGACCAGAATGAGCCCTTGGTTTATCCAGAGGTGTAGGGAGGAAGGCCCAGCAGCAGAATGAAAACGACATAGCATCGAAAGTCAAGTCTGACCCAAAACTGCTTTACAGCCACATCAGGAGGAAAACAACAGTCAAGGACCAGGTAATCAGGCTGAGGAAAGAAGGTGGGGAGCTCACAAGAAATGACCAAGAAGTATGTGAGGAGCTCAACATGAGATTTCAGCAAGTATTTACAGTGGAGGCAGATGGGACACTGCAAAGTCAAAACAGTGGGTTACACCAACAAGGGATATACCAACAAGTGTTGGATGAAATACACACAACCGAGGAGGAGGTGAAGAAGCTCCTAAGTGACCTTGATACCTCAAATGCGGTGGGACCGGACAAAATCTCTCCATGGGTCCTTAGAGAGGGAGCAGAGACACTGTGTGTGCCACTAACCACAATCTTCAACACATCCCTTGAAACTGGGCAATTACCTGAGGTATGGAAGACAGCAAATGTAGTCCCCATCTTTAAGAAAGGAGACAGAAACAAGGCACTAAACTATAGACCAGTGTCACTGATGTGTATGGTATGCAAAGTCATGGAGAAGATTATCAGGAGGACAGTGGTGGAACACCTGGAATGGAACAAGATTATGAACGACAGCCAGCATGGATTCATGAAGGCAAATCCTGTGTCACAAACCTACTGGAGTTTTATGACAAGGCTACTAAAGTAAGACATGAGAGGGAGAGGTGAGTTGATTGCATTTTCTTGGACTGCAAGAAGGCCTTTGACACATTTCCTTACAAGAGATTAGTACAGAAGCTAGAGGATCAGGCACGTATAACAGGAATGACACTGCAATGGATCAGAGAATACCTAACAGGGAGGCAACAGCGAGTCATGATACTTGATGAAGAATCCCAGTGGGCACCTGTGATGAGCGGGGTCCCACAGGGGTCAGTTCTGGGACCAGTGCTATTCTTGGTATATGTGAATGACATGATGGAAAGGACAGACTTAGAAGTATTCCTGTTTACAGATGATGTGAAGTTAATGAGGAGAATTAAATCAGATAGGGATAAGATGGGTCTACAAAGAGACCTGGACAGGCTGGAGATGTGATCCAGCAACTGGCTCCTAGAATTTAACCCCTCCAAATGCAGAGTCATGAAGATCAGGGAAGGGCAAAGAAGACTGCAGACAGAGTATGGGCTGGGTGGCCAAAGACTGCAAACCTCACTCAAGGAGAAAGATCTATGTGTGAGTATAATACCGAGCACGTTGCCGGAAGCACACATTAACCAGATAACTGCTGCGGCATATAGGTGCCTGGCAAACCTGAGAATAGCATTCCGATACTGCAGTAAGGAATTGTTCAAGACTCTATACACTGTGTACTTCAGGCCCATACTGGAGTACACAGCACCAGTTTGGAACCCACACCTGGTCAAGCACGTCAAGAAATTAGAGAAAGTGCAAAGGTTTGCAACAAGGCTGGTTCCAGAGCTAAGGGGAATATCCTATGAAGAAATCACATCAAATCAAATCAAGTTTATTCTCTATAAGGATTACAGTGCTGAGTTTACAGAATTTGGATATTGTGTGATTTACATGTTTTAAAATACAGTGGACCCTCGACATTCCGATACTAATCCGTTCCTGATGATCTGGTGATATTTGATATGATGGGAGGAGGGGAGAGTGTCGAAGTTGTTACTGTTTAGAAGAGGAATCCCCTTCCATTAGGACTTGAGGTAGCAAGTCCTTTTCTGGGGTTACTTCCCTTCTTCTTTTAATGCCACTAGGACCACTTGAGAGTCACTGGACCTCTGTCGCCGTTCCTTTAAGATTTGTCTAAAATGGGCCATAACATTGTCATTGTAATAGTCACCAGCACGGCTTGCAATAGCTGTGTTAGGGTGATTTTCATCCATAAAGGTTTGCAGTTCAACCCACTTTGCACACATTTCCTTAATTTTTGAAGTTGGCACAATGAAGTCCACAACTGGCATAGGCTTCTCAGGGCTAGCCCCAAACCCTTCAAAATCTTTCTTTTTACCACAGGGTTGGCACTAGAAGCTTTCTTGGGGCCCATGGCAACTTATTTTGCAGAAACAAGCAACAAAAACACTGATAATATGGATAATGTGGAATGTACCGAATGTATCCTTAGATGCGCGCACACTGGCTGGCTTGTAAACACTGGTACATACGGGGCAGTTCAGGCCACGCGTGGACACGTCTCGTACGAATCGTATCAAATGTCGGGTTTTCCATCGAATGTCGAGGCAAAATTTTTGCATTAAAATGCATCGAATGTTGGATTTATCGAATGTCAATGCCATCGAATGTCGGGGGGCCACTAGAACACCTAGCATGGCTAGGCATTTCAGGCAGACTTAGATTAATTCTTAACTTTAAAATATTACAAATTATGAGGTAAGTTGGTATTATGGCTAAGTGACTGAATACTAGTTTGTGAGTTTAGCAATGTGATTGCTTTTGTTTTTGCACAATACATAGTTTCAGTATTGGAGTATCACAGGCCAACTTTTGACTAGTTAGGATTCATTATTTTAAGATTAAGATTAGTATTTCTGTGTTTATGGTCAAATGGGTGAGTGAGTGTTAGTGTGAACCACCAGGTGGTATTCATGTAATTAGTTGATGGGGTGTGTCAGGGAGATAAGATGTTTTCTAATGGTAGTTTTGAAGGTGATGAATGTGTCTGCAGTTCTAGAGTATTCAGGGAGGGTGTTCCAGATTTTTGGGCATTTGATCTACATTGAATTTTTGTAAAGGTTAAGAGAAATTGGTCTGACGACACTGGAGGACAGGAGGGTCAGGGGAGACATGATAATGGCATACAAAATAATGCATGGAATAGATAAGGTGAACAGATACAGGATGTTCCAGAAATAGGACACAGAAATAAGGGGTCACAATTCGAAGTTGAAGACTCAGATGAGTCAAAGGGATGTTAGGAAGTATTTCTTCAGTCAGAGAGTTGTTAGGAAGTGGAATAGTCTGGCGAGTGATGTAGTAGAGGCAGGAACCATGCATAGTTTTAAGACGATGTATGATAAAGCTCATGGAGCAGGGACAGGGAAGACCCAGTAGTGGTCAGTGAAGAGGCAGGGCCAGGAGCTGAGTTTCGACCCCTGCAACCACAATTAGGTGAGTACACACACACACACACACACACACACACACACACACGTGTGCACACACAGATGCACACACACAGGGGTCAGTCCTAGGACCAGTGCTATTTTTGGTTTATGTGAATGACATGATGGAAGGGATAGACTCAGAAGTGCTCCTGTTTGCAGATGATGTGAAGTTAATGAGGAAAATTAAATCAGATGAGGATCAGGCAGAACTACAAAGAGACCTGGACAGGCTGGACGCATGGTCCAGCAACTGGCTCCTCAAATTTAACCACGCCAAATGCAAAGTCAGAGTATAGGCTAGGAGTATAGGCAGACAGAGCATAGGCTAGGTGGCCAAAGACTGCAAACCTCTCTCAAGAAAAATGATCTTGGGGTGAGTATAATACTGAGCACATCTGCAGTGCACATCAATCAGATGACTGCTGCCGCATATGGGCGCCTGGCAAACCTGGCATTCCAACACCTCAGTAAGGAATCATTTAAGACTCTGTACACTGTGCACGTCAGGCTCATACTGGAGTATGCAGCACCAATTTGGAACTCACACCTGGTCAAGCACATCTAGAAATTAAAGAAAGTGCAAAGGTTTGCAACCACAAATAGGTGAGTACCAATAGGTGAGTACAGATGCACACAGACACACACACACTCACTCACTTTACAAATAGGATGTTTAGAAACTAATTAAAGTTTTACTGCCACTGAGATCCTTTGAGCTAGTTCCTATTTTTTCAAACAACTCTTTTGTAAATAACGAAGCAGGAAGGCAGTTCATTTGTAAGTTGGAGCCATGTTTATGTAAAAATTCTTACATTTTCAAATTTTTGATGTTAGTTAATATAAACGTGAATATAAATAAATGTGTATATATTGTATCAGAACCTGTGGTACCAAGCCGATCCCGTCTCTTGGATGTCAACTCTACGTCAGTGCTGGTGCATCTTAGTACGTGGGGTGATGGAGGCTGTCCTATTCTATATTACGTCATAGAATATCGTGCTTCATCATCCAGGGTTAGTGTAAATTACTTGTTCTCTGGGTTACAGTATATAATATATGATAACATTCTATCAGTTTCTGTACTTTAATTTCTTACGAGTAGCACTTAATTTGTCTTTATTTATTCATTCCTTGCACTAGTTATGATTGATTTTTTAACTTGCAGTATTTTTAACAATTGACATGTTTTGAATTACAACAAAAGTCTCTTCAGAGAAATTGTAGCGACTCGTCTTGTCTTCTTGAAACCTCATAATCACTCATTTCCCAGGCACTGTATCACCGTGTGAGGTCATTTAAACACATGGTATTATTATAATAATTAATGCTGTATTAACAAAGATTTTTTGTACTGCATTTTGTATTTGGGTAAACCACTTGTGCTGTGATGTCTATGCTTTACTGGAACTCCTCTTTTGAAGAATGAAAAAAATTCTGTGTTTAGGTCCTTGAACCACATTACTTATCTATCTACCTATAATTTGTACATATATTGCTAGTATATAACACTCAAATTGCTATATTAAGTCTTGTTCATCTTCCATGTGCATGTGTACTAGTTCCTTCTAGCATTTACCTCGACTCTGCACAGCTATAAAAACAGCTGACAAAGACAACATCGACAAGTTTGTGATCAGGAAGAGAAAACATGAAGATGATTGTGGTGAGGACAAAAAAGGAAAACAAATGTGGAAATATGAGTGAAAAAGAAAGAACAATTCCTATTTCCAGTACAACTGATCTGATTAGAAGAAAAATCACGTATATTTGCGAAGTTTTCTTACAAGCCTATATCATACTTTGAGAGACTTAAATGAGTGAAGACAACAGAGCTGATATTTTCTAAAACAAAGTTTCTAATTAAGTTCGAGAGGCCAACTGCTTAGTAGCAGAATTACTAAACATATGAAACTTTGTACAGAAGCATAGACACTTACTCTCCCTCCTTGGACAGTGAAGCAAAAGAAAAGATTCCACTCTCAGATAACATCAGCAGCAGATGGATACATGATATGTCAGCAGACATAGGAAAAACTGTGTGCATCACTATAAAGAAAAGTGAAATATTTGCACTGCAAGTAGATGAGTCTTCAGATACTGTAGGAAAGGCTCAACTATTACCATTCATTAGTTACATTAGTAATGCTAAACTAGTAAACAGTTTGGTTGTTGTAAACAAACTTGATAAAACAACAAGAACAGGACAAGATATATTCACTACATTAAGTAAGTACTTGGAAGTTACTGGTTTGTCCTGGTAGTACTGTGTAGGAATTTTTACAAACATTGCTGCTCCATCAATGGTTGCTTCAATGAAAGGATTTGTATTAGTGAAGAAAGAAAGCATTGATGTCATAACACATTGCTTTCTCCATCGTCAGTTGCTGCTTGCAAGAACAATCAACAATAAGTTGAAGGCTGTACTTGACAAAGTTGTAAAAATGATGAACTACATAAAAGTAGGTCACTTAAATCACTACTGTTTGGCAAACTGTGTGAAGAAGTTGTGGCAAACATGTGAATGTTCTGCACACACAGGTAAGATGGTTATCCAGAGGCATTGTTGTCAGTAGTGTATTAGCACTTACTTTTCATTATAATAATAATACTAATGTCAGTAATGTATGAACTCAAGGATGAGTTACTTATAGTTGCTTATGTTGCTTATAGATGACACTTAGTCTTAGTGTACAAAATTATCTTACTTAGTGGATATCTTCGAACGTTTAAATAAGGTAAGTTCTAACATGCAAGGCAACACAAAGTATCTTATCTTTCCACTGACAAAATTAATGCTCTGGGAGATAAATTAAGAATTTGGGCTGTGAGAGTGAAGGAAAGCAACATGTTGCCACATGTTGATGCAATATGTTGATGCAACAAAGAATAAAGAGATCATGCCATTGATTTTTGAGCATCTTGAAGTATTGCAGAAAAACTTCAGTACTATTTCCCAAACTTATGTTTACCTGGAGACCTGGAGAGGGTTTCGGGGGTCAACACCCCGCGGCTCGATCTGAGACCAGGCCTCACAGTGGATCAGGGTCTGATCAACCAGGGAAAGTTTTGACTGGTTGAGAAACACATTTATTGTATCAGATCAAGACTGTTGAAGCTCTCACAGAAGAAGAGGAAGTAATTGAATATATAATGATGGCAGTCTGAAATTAAGAATGAATATCCTCAGTTTGTGAAAAAATAAAGTTGCCTAACTGTTGCCCATGTGTTTTACCTACCATATACTTTATATGCATTTTATTGCTCTGGGGGGCTTTAAATGTTGTAGTATATTACGTGTGGGTGTGGTGAGCTGGCCTGGCTGGCTGCCATACCTTCCACACCTGACTTCCTTGAAATAAATACTACTCACCTCTCACCCTACATTAAGATTACAAATATTTTAAGGTAAATAATGAGTGTACTGTATATGCATTTTATCACTCTGAGGTGCTTTAAATGTCATAGTATATTACGTGTGGGTGGGGTAGCCTGGCTGGCTACCATACCTCCCACATCTGACTTCTTACAGTAAATGCTACTCACTTCTCACCCTATATTAAGACTACAAATATTTTAACGTAAGTAATGAGTGTACTGTGTGTGTATTTTACTTTTTGTTGTTTTTAATGCCTAGTTCTATTGCTAACTTAATATATGTTAGTGTAAACTTATTATCTGGCATTTTTATGCATTTATAAGTGGAAAAAATGGCGTTCTGTTTTCCTGCAATGTCCGCTTTCCGACGGTAGCCTGGAACCTAACCCGCTGTATAAGTGGGGCCCTACTGTATAACAAGACCAATTTTAATGCAGGCTATTGATATAAACATCAGGGATACACAGTGCCCCTTTAGCACTCACTGCAAGTAAATAAGTAAGTGTATTCAGGTTAACACAAATACAGTTACATAGATTATCATGCATATGTGTAAAGAACTTAGGATAACCCCAAAAAAGTCAGACAGTGACTTATTTCTATTGGGGTCCTTTGCAACATGGTTAAATCAAGGAATAAATGTTTCACACCAAATGTGAAAACTCCATACAGAAAGTGGCCTCAGCCAGGAGTCGGTTTTCTTTTCTCATCAGCATTATAACAAAATAACGTTACCCCTTTGAGGGTCTGTGTCATAGTTGTACAGCTTTGAAGCCAGGGTCAGTCAGTGCTGTAGTTCTATGTCATGAGCTCAGCTCACTCAAATAAGCTGTGAGTGGTAAATTTGGGCCTAGATATGAGAGAATGCATCTATGTTGTAAGTGTGCACCATATAAAAAAGTCCTGTTTCTTACATAATTTTGAAGAAAATATCATAGATGGATTAATGAAAATATCTATATTAATGTAAAATAAGACATATAATGTGCCCAAGAGTGAATCACAAATGTATGAGCAGCCCAGGTGGATGCACCTGGTACCGTCGATTTCCGAGCCACTGTACGAAACCCGAGGGTAAATTTTGCTGAGAAAAGTGCTCGAAATCTGAATTGTACGATTTCCGCACTGGCCAAAAACCGGGGTCCACTGTACTTCTTTATACTTTTTTTCTTAATGTATTACCTATTACGAAATCTCTTTCTATACAAAGTTCAATCAAAGGCCCCCCCCTTATCATTTACACCTGCACTCCAAACTTACCTACCATACCCTCTCTAACCATTTCTTTCTCACTTGGTTCAAAAGTTCCTCTACACTTGCTTAACATCTCCCAGAATCTCTGGCCTGTACACTCCTCTCTTCTCCATGTGCAAAAAGACTCATTATGACCCATTTTTCACATCTGACCCTTATTTTAATCTGTATAATCTTAGAATTTATACATTTATGTTCCCTCTTCTTCCATAACTGATCCTGCAACATTATTGCTACTCCTTTCATAGCTCTAACTCTTTCAGATACTCCTGACTTAATCCCATTTATTTCTTCCCATTGAAACTCCCCTACTCCCTTCGGCTTTGTTTTCTCAGAGCTAGGACATCCAACTTCTTGCCATTCATAATACTGGCAATCATCTCTTTCTTATCAAATGCACTACATCCATGCACATTTAAGCATCCCAGCTTTATAAAAATGTTCTTGCATTTAGTAATTTATACTGGAGAAGTGGTTACCAGCCCCTTGCTCCCAGCATTGTAGTTGCCTCTTATGACACACATGACTAACGGAGAAAAGATTCTTTTCCACTTCCCCATTTAGATGGAAGGAAATAAAAAGAACTATTGAGAAAAATAGGAGAAAATTCAGGTTGGCGTGTACACATTTATATGTACATGTTTATGTAGTGTGCCTAAGTGTAAATAGAAGTAGAAAGATGTACCTGTTTTCTTGTGTGTTTGAGACAGAAAGAAAAGGACACCAGCATTCCAACCATTGTGTAAAAAACTATGTACAGGTTTGTTTCCCATGCACTTGTCAGGACAGTAGTACCTCCCTGGGTTGTGGTTGCTGTCTACCATTTTACTACCTTAACCCTTTGACCGTTTTGGTCGTATATATACATCTTACGAGCCAGTGTTTCTGACGTGTATGTACTCAATAATTCTAGCGGCTTCAGATCAAGCAGGAGACAGCTGGTAGACCCACATATGAGAGAATGGGTCTGTGTGGTCAGTGTGCACTACATAAAAAAATTCCTGCAGCACGCAATGCATAATGACAAAAAAAAACTCCGACCATTTTTTTTTTTTGAATTAAAACGCTGACTTTGAGGTGTATTTTTGTATAGTATTTATCGTTGTATTCTCGTTTTCATGGTCTCATGTGATAAAATGGAAAACGTATTACAAAAATAGAGGTGATTTTGATTAGTTTCACAATGAAAACAATCTTGAAATTGAGCTCAAAGTAGGGGAAATGTTCGATTTTTACCAATGTTCAAGAGTAAGTAAATCACACCACATGTCCAATACACATCAACTGGGGTGTCTAATATTCTTTCACTAGTGCACTGATATTATTTATACCATTTTTACAGTAATGCAGTAGTCTGCATAACATGAATAAAAAATAAAAATAG